TGTATAGCTGAGTCTCCATCAGGTTTCCAAGGCTATAAATTGGTTGGAACAAATGTATAGCTGAGTCTCCATCAGGTTTCCAAGGCTATAAATTGCACAAGAAGGGGTTTCCCATGTTTCGTTCATAAAGCCATGAGTGGATTCAAACCACACGAGAGATGCAGCCTCTAGGTTAGCAGCACAGCTCCCTACATAGGAGGCCACCAGAGCGCCCTTCTCATTCACTGACCCTCTACTTTTCCAACCATGTATCCTCCAAGGACTGACTCCTCTTGATTAAAAAAAACCCAAAATACATATGTTTCCATATTTGAGAGCTCTACCTCAATTGCCCTGTCTAAGGGTGGTCTATTGTACTGTTTTCAAAGGCCTGCTATTTCAGAAGTCAATGACCAATCCTTATTCTTAGCCTATCTTAATCTCAGTGCTCAGATTTAGAACAATATCTGACAGACAAGCATTTTACGGAAAAAAGCGGATGCAAGATATTTCCCCAATTGAAGAAATAACCAATAGTTTCAGTGTTGGCCCCACCCTGTGTTATGTAGATGATATGACCCTGCTTGCTGAAACTGAGGAGGACCTGAAGCGCTTGCTGCAGAGGGTCAAGGACTGTAGCCTTCAATACAGGTTGAAGCTCAATATCAAGAAAACAAAGATTCTCACCACTGGGCTACCTGGCAGCATCATGATAGATAGATGGTGAAGAGATTGAGATTGTTAATAGCTTTAGTTTGCTTGGCTCCACAATCAACACTCTTGACACAAACAGCCAGGAAATTAAAAGACATATTGCCTTGGTAAAGTCATTTATCAGGGACCTCTCCAAATTACTTAAGAGCAGTGATTTCAGTGTGGAGACTAAGGTGTGCCTGATACAGGCCATGGTCTTTGCAATCACTTGCTATGCATCAGAGAGCTGGACAATGACTAGGGATGACAGAAGGAGAAGTGATGCCTTTGAGCTGTGGAGTTGGAGAAGAGTATTGAATATTCTTCATAGACTGCTAAGGCAACAAATAGGTTCATCCTGGAGAGGGTTAAACCAGGCTGTTTCTTGGAGGCAAGGATTCAGAAGTTTCATGTGACATACTTTGGACATGTTGCAAGGAGGGGCGGGACATCATGCTTGGGAGGGTGCAGGGACAGTGCAGGAGAGGAAAACCCTTAATGAGATCGATTGATTCAGTGACTGGGGAAATGTGGGTATGTGTGTCAGAGACAGTGAGATTGGCACAGGGTAGAGCAGGGTTTAGGGCTGTTGCACATAGGGTCACTGTGAGTTGCAGGTGACTCAACCCCACAAAACAACAATACAGTAGCTTTTTTGGCCTAGAGGTAAGAAGTAATGCTGCCAACCCTAAGGCAAGTGGTTTGAACCTACCAGCTGCACTACTGGAGAAAGATGGACAGTCTCCTCCCTTGCAATTTAAGTCTCTGAATACTGGCTGGAGAGTCAGCTCTGTGTCAGTTCCAACTCAACAGCACATAACTCTCAGAGGTAAGGTGCTAATATATGCAAAGTGCTTGTACATAGGATGCACTCCTTTTCATCATGGATATGAAGATATTAAATCCCACTTATCTGAGCCCAAATGTGTGAATTATTCAAATTAACCTGCTAGAAGTTCTACTTCTCTGCTTATATAGCACTTTGAGAGCAAGCCCAGCATAAAGGGCATAGTCCTCTGGACTGGCTAGAACTTGAGACTCCAGTTACATTTGGAGTTTTACCATTCTCCCTTCAGAATGCCAGTGACAGCCTGGGAGATCTCAAGGGCTTTCTTCACTTCTCGCTTTAACCTTCTAACTACAAATTTGGGGATTCTCCTCTACTACTTCAAGATACGTACCATACTTCTAACTTGCTGGCTCCCACTTGCCCCATGGGCTTGATAATGGCTTAAAAACCTCAGGAAAACACTATACTTAAAATGACAATTTTATTATAACAGGAAGGATGCAGATGAAGAGACATACAGGTTAAGGTTCAAGAGGGTTCTCAACAAAGGGTTTCCATGTTCCAAAAATGGACTTTAACCCACCATTTGCATGGTTAACTTTCACCATCCAGGAAGCTCATAGATCTTCCATATCCAGGCTTGTGTTGGAGACTTATTTTGTAGGCATTAATTGGTTGAATCAAGGAGCTCTTATGGTCTAATGGTAAAGAATTGTGCTGTCAACCCAAAGGCACATGGTTTAAATCCACCACCTGCTCCAAGCCAGAAAGAAGGGCAGGCAACTCCCAAGCAATTTACTGCCTCTGAAAACCTCTGAAGTTGGTCCCAACTCAATGGTACACAATAATAACTTACTGAGTTAACTCCTTCCACCAAGGTTGACTGATGTGAAGTGGGTCTTCTCACCTGGCCAACCTAAGTAACCTCATTACCATAAACTCCAAGATGTGGTCTCATCAAAGGCACTGGAAAAACTCCAAGGTTTTAGAGGTTGTCTCTCATGGACTAAGGACAAAGATCACATTCTTTAGATAAAATATATCAGTGTGAAAAGATCCTTAGGGAGCTGGTGACACAGACTGGAGTGAGATGCACTGCAAACCCAAAAGCTTCACCTCTTGATGGTTTGACTCTACCATCAAGTGGCTCCTCAGGAAAAAGATGAGCAGTCTTTTTCCATGTAATTTCCAGCCTCTAATAGCCCAGGAGAGGGTGAGGTATGAGTCAGCTCTCACTGGAAGGCAATGAATGAGTGAGTGACCCTCCCAGAAACAAATATATTTAACACACTTATTTCAAACACATGTTTTTCAGATCTCACAGTTGATGTTCCAGGCCATGGAAAGGTGGTGGTGGACATTGCATATGGTGGCACATTTTATGCCTTTGTCAGTGCTGAAAAGTTAGGACTCAACGTTTGTTCTGCAAAGACAAAGGACCTCGTAGATGCAGCAAGTGCTGTGACAGAAGCAGTGAAGGCTCAGGTAGGTATAATTGCTGCCATAGTAACAATTACTCCTTTGTGACATGAAGAAAATAGAAATTATTGCACCAATCTTATCACTTGGCCATCAGAGTTCCTTATAAAGAAAATTAAATATAAGTTATTAGCAGTACTAAGAATAGCTGTTGCTGTTAAGTGCCATCAAATTGAATATGTCTCATGGCTACCTTATGAGCGTGAGATCGGACCCTTAACCCTATCCTGTGCCATCCTCATGATGCTCAAGCCTGTCATTGTTACTGTCATTGTGCCAATCAGTGTTCTTGAGGGTCTTCCTGTCTTTGACTCTTCACCTTTCTCAGGTCCCCCCAAAAGGTATGTTGAAATCTAACCTTCAGTACCTGTGAATGTGACCTTATTTGGAAATAGGGCCATTGAAGATGCTGTCAGTCAGTAAGCATGAGGTCATAACAAAGTAGGGTCCTAATCCAATATTAATGGTGTCCTTATTAAATGAGGGGAGGAGATAGACTCACACAAGAGACAAGAGTTGAAGATGGATACCAAATAGAATAAGGAATCTATAACTGGGGAATACATTTCTAGAAACCACCAAAAGTTGGGAAAAGCAAGGAAAGCTCTTCTTGTAAACACTTAAGAAAGAACATGGTCAGCTGATGCCCTGAATTCAGACTTCTGGCCAGACTTGTCATGCATTTCAGACATGCTATCAGGAAGGACTAGTCTCTGGAGAAAAGTCTAAAGCTTGATAAAATAGTAGTTGTTGTTGTTATGTACCATCCAGTCCCCAGCAACACAGCAATCCTATATACAGCAGCTCTGGACATTGCTTTATCCTGAGCCAGTCTCATTGTCTCCAATACAACTACCCCCATTACCCCAGTCACTGTGTCAGTCCATCTTATCCAGGGTCTTCCTCTTGTGCTGTCCTTCCATGCTTTGAAGAATGATGTCCTTCTCCAAGGACAGGTCCTTCTCTAAGGATAGGTCCTTCCTGGAAATATGCCCAGATTATGTCAGATAGAGCTTCAGGATCCTTGCCTTCAAGGAGCAGCTTGGTTTCACTCTCTCTTGGATTAACCTATTCTCTTAGCAGTCCATGGTATATTCAGTACTCTTCTCCAGAACCACAACTCAAAGGCATCAATTATTCTTCTATCATTCTTAGCCATTGTTCAGCTCTCTGATGCATAGCAAGTAATTGAAAAGACAATAGCCTGGATCAGGAGCACCTTAGTCCCCAGACTGACTTTGATGCTCTTCAGTACTCTGGAGAGGTCACTGACTGCAGACTTTCCCAATGCAATTTGTTTGTTCTTTTTTTTTTTTTAAATTTCCTGAGTACTGTTGCCAAGAGTGCTGATCATGGAACCAAGAAAGTGGAAGCTGTTAATAATCTTAGTAAATCTCTTCTTCTGTCATGATGCTGTCAATTGGCCCAGTGGTGAGAATCTTTGTTTTCTTGATGTTGAGCTTCAGTCCATCTTAAAGACTGCAGTCTTCGACCTTCTGCAACAAATGCTTCAGGTCCTCCTCAGTTTCAGCAAGCAAGGTTGTATCATCTGCATAACATAGGTTGTTGAGGAGAGAAAGACCATCAGTGAGATGAACTGACACAATAACTGCAGCAGCAGGCCAAGTAGCAATGATTGTGTGGATAGCACAGTACCAGACAGTGTTTAGTTCACTGTGATCTGAAATGGAACAACAATAAACCCTTGAGAACTATAAGAATAAATTTGTGGTACTTTGTTATGGCAACCCTAGGAAATTAATCCACCTGTGAAGAATTTGATATAATAGTGCTATTGTAGGGGTGAAGATAAAGTAAAGCCTTTAAAATAGAGAACAAAACTCCACTATGAGGCCTCTTGGCTTGATATTAGATGGGCTTATTGGATATTAAGAACACAAGTTCATTCAGTTGTTTAAAAGATCACAGTAATCTCAGGCATTCTAAAAACTATCAGACCTCTCAAGAAGTACAGGAAGCACTGCACATTTGGACCTGAGCATACCTTCCCATTGGCATGACATGGTTTCTCTGCCAGGGCCTGCAGTATTAGGTATGTAAAGAGTATGTAGGTTCAAGGTGAGAGGCTTTCAAATAGCGCTGTAGAGGCTATGTGCAGAACACCTTCCTTGGAAGGGATTAAAAGTACTATAAAGACTTTTAACTTCCAATTAAACTAAACACATTTACAGAGATACCTTTTCTAAAGAGATATTCCATAATAGATAAGGATACAATATTATGTCTAAGAGTTCCCCAAATGCATCTTTTATAAAGATCAGTTTGAGTAAACTATTTTGTCTAGATGGTTTTTGTTCTTATTTTCAGGTTAAAATTACTCATCCTGGGAGTGAAGATCTGGCTTTTCTCTATGGAACTATATTAACAGATGGAAAGGACACTTATAGTGAGGAACCAACTACCAACATCTGTGTGTTTGCAGATGAGCAGGTATTGAAACAATAATTTCAAACCTCAAAGCCGGATGATACAGAACTAAATTTGTATTCTTTGCCCAGCTAGCCACCTCCACCTTTCTGTGTCCCAGTTTCCCCATCTCAGAAGAGGTGAGGCTAAGGCTTGTTTGGTCTCTCTTACATAGTTGTTGTCATACAGATAACATGAGATAATGGGTAAAATGTTGGATATAGAGCCTAAGAAGTATTCCATTAGGCAAACTAAACTTCTATTCTCATATTGTGGGGAATCCTTTCTTTTTCTTTGTGGCCAGAATGTATATATGACTTGTGATCAGTATGAGGTGCTTGTGAGCTAGACAACAGAATAATTTTATAGAGAGAAGTGAATATTGAATATACTTTTTAAGTAGACCACCTGTTTCACTAGGGAAGTTCCCCACATACTCTGTATAAAGAAATGAACTATCCAGATTCCACATTATCAGGAATTTTGAAATCTTTTGATTGGTTCTATGACAACTCTATGGTTTTCTTTTATTTCACAAGCCCAGACCCACTGCCATCAAGTCGGATCTGACTCCTAACATAACACTCCATCAGGTTTCCGAGTTTGTAAATGTAAACAACAGGAGATTGCTCATTTTTCCCCCTTGGAGGGGTCAGTGCATTTGAACTGCTGACTTTCCAGTTAGCAGCCTCATTTGTTAAACATTTTATTTCCTTAGAGACTCTGTTGTACATTGGGTGTATTATTTGATGCACAATGTGTTTGATACAGTAGAAATCTAAAGTGGGAGAAATGCTGCTGCTCCATTGTAACATTTCCTGCCTCACTAGTATAATCCTCCTGACCTCTGTTCATCTCATTCTCGGTGTGCCTGCAAAGGGCCAGGGGCTTAAGCTGATGGAGTTTGAGAAGAGCAATTAGGTGTAGAAGATGCCTCGGAGGATATGTGTTCTATTCTGCTCCTTACTGGAGTGTGGTGTTTTCATACTGGGTCAGACTCTCAAACAGCATTCTTTATGAGTAATAAAGTTGGTATTTTGTTTTCAACCTCAGTTACTACTTTGACTTATTTCTTGGTAAGTGCAGAACTCAGACAAGGAAGAAGGGTGTTTTTTAATTGGGCCTTTTGTATCTCAGTGTTTTTGTATGAGACTTCTTTTGAAGTGGACTTTTATTTCTGCTCACTTTAGTGATACAAAAGTAAGGCATTTATCTTACTTTGCAGTTTGGCACCAATGTTAGTTTTCTCTGTTTTTGTATTTTACTCAGAAGATTTTTCTAGTCTGCTGTTTCATTCATGCATGAAAGTAATTACTATCTTAGACTACAAGCTCCTTATAAATTCCTTCTGTGCTTTTTAAAACATTTTTAAATTGAAGGGATGGTAGAAATAATTTTCAAATGGTATTTAAAGGGAAATTTATTAAGATTTATAATAGAGTAGTACACAATAATGTAGTTTTCTTTAGACTTAAAGAAATTTTAAAATAATTGCCAATTCTAGTTTATAGAAATTTACTTCCACATCAACCTTTAATAAAATGCATAAGAACTCTACACAGTTTAAGTTTTTATGTTATATTTATATAGTAATGTTAAACTTTAATATACCAAAAAAAATCTTCAAAGACTATATATAAGATCTAGCTCACACATTTTATTTTTCATTTACATATATAAATATGTGCTCACACACATTTTCATTTGTTTTGTAACAGGTTGACAGAAGTCCTACCGGTTCAGGAGTGACAGCCCGGATTGCCTTACAGTATCACAAAGGGCTTCTAGAACTGAACCAGGCCAGGCCCTTTAAAAGCAGTGCAACTGGCTCGGTGTTCACCGGGAAGGCTGTGAGGGTGAGTGACACACCCTTAGCTCGTTCATAAATGTTCTGCATGGGACTGAAGAATCCCAGTTTCGGTTTTAAGTTTATTCACCCAGCAATAAGAGGAGAATTTTCTCAGAGAAGACCAATAAAACTAGGTCAGGTTTCTCAGAGACTCCTGTGCTTCACTCATGATTGTCCTAGAGTTCAATCTCAGTTTACTAAAAAGTTCCTTCTTCCTTCTTAAATAAGTTCCTCCTTCTCTCATTCCTGTCTTTATTAATAACATCACTGTTTTCACTTCCAAGGTGTCAGTAACTCACTTCTGTTCCTCATTTCCTGTGTACATTGGTCACCAGTGTACAATAGGCCTGTCCAACAAGTCTACATTATGCTCTCTGCTCTAGTAACTGAATTCAACCAATGAATTAAGATGTTCTCTTAAAAAAAAAAAAGATGTTCTCTTAACAGGTTTTTGTGTTCCTAGTCTTTTTCTTTTCCACTTAATTTTCTGTTTTATTGCTAAACAAGCCTCATCAGTCTCTCTACTAAAGATTTCCTGTAGGGTTAATATTTAGAGTTTCTTTAAAATAATAAAAACCATGAGTAAAAAAACTTCAGGCCCAATGTAATACCAGTGCTGCATTTTAATCCTGTATTTTCTTTTTTTCTGTATCTTCACCCCCTGCCCCCACCCCACCAGGAAACAGCATGTGGTGATTTTAAAGCTGTTATAGTGGAAGTCTCAGGACAAGCCCATTATACAGGTACAGCAAGCTTTATAGTAGAAGACGGTGACCCACTGAAGGATGGATTTCTTCTCAAGTGACTTCTTCAAAGACTTTTAAGGCTTTCTTTTAAGATAATCACTATAAATAATCTTTCTCTAAATCATGTGAAAAACAGAATCTGATGTTTGTACATGTAAGCTAATTTTCATTCTTTCTAAAATAGTGCTCTGTGACTAAATATAAAGTCAGCACAACAGCATACTTCATCCTTCAGGACCACTGATGGTAATGTAGCTGAGCCCTTGACCCTTTAGCTGCTAACAGAGGCTGATGGTAGCAGTCAGCGCCCATAAAGATGCACAGCCTTGGAAACTCTGTGGCAAAGATGTCACTGTTGTTGTTGTGAGGTACGAACACTGCCCATCCTGTGCCATCCTCACCGTCAGAGACACTAGAGCTCACTGCTGAAGTCACTGCTCAGTCCATCTTATTGGGGCTTTTCCTCTCCTTCACTGACCGCTTTATCTTTCCAAGCATGATGTCCTTTTCAAAGCAGTCATCTTACCTAGCTACTTGTCCAAAATAGGAAAGACAAAGTTTGGGCATCCTTGCCTTCAGGAAAGGGTCCACCCTCCATACAGTTCACACCTGTCTATAAGGCTCTTGTCTACTGTTTCAGCAAAACTGATTTTTAAAATAAAATTATCCCTATTGCAATAACAAAAAGATTTTTTTGTTAAGTCCAGCTTACATGTATGTGTCACTATACCTATAAGGTTAAAACTATTCTAATTTGCCTATGCTAATTTGCCTTTTTAAACTTTCATGTGCTACAATCACAGCTTTTGTTATTACTCAGTTACAGTGAAGCTTTAAATCACATGGCTTTGTCTGTATGTTGCTGTTTTTATTGCTGCCCATATTTTTATCATAGTTGATTTAGCCGAATTTTCTGATACTTTAGCTGTAATAATATTGTGGGAATTAGTACATGTGAGCCTATACCATTTTTTAAAGAATGAAATTATAATTAAATGAAAAAAACTTTTAAAGAGACTAATATCAGTTTCTAATAATATTGTAAATACTATGTAGAAAGGTACTACAAAACAATTTTGTTAGTCTCAATTGGAAAAAATTACATAATTTATAACTATATCACATATTTTATGACTGAAATTGTTAATAAGAATTACTAAGGATTCTGTATGGTCGGGCATGGCAAGGGCCATGGAGGAGGGGATGCCACTGAGTTATCACACTAGGTGACAGTGACCCCAGTGATGCTACCACATATCAGGCAGTTAGTTTTACTTTGTCCCCAAAGGTATGCACTTCAAAATACATCAGTTGTTCCATAGGAGAAAGGTAGGTAATCTCGTGTGATTTGTTGTTGTTTCATGCTGTCAAGTCGATTGTGACTCTTAACAGCCCTATGTGCAATAGTTCTGAACCCTGCCTGATCCTGAGCCAATCTGTCTCTGACACACCAATCTTCATTGCCCCGGTTATTGTGTCAATCCATCTCATCCAGGGGCTTCCTCTCCTGCGTTGTCCCTCGACCCTTCCAAGCATGATGTCCTTACTTCCTCTAAAAACCTGCTAGAGGGTCAGCTATAGGTCAAGTCCATCTTAAAGTACACAACAACAGCATGGGTCATACTACAAATCGGAATCAAGCATACAACTGTGGGTGTGTTTATGTATGTGTACATAAAATATTTGCAAATGTATATAAGCAGCCATGCTTAAAGCACTAAACTGCTAACCAGGAGGCTGGAAGTTTGAACTCATCAGGCTCCCCACAGAAGAAAGTGGCAGCTTGCTCTTGTAAGAATCTACAGCCTTGTAGACCCTCTGGGGAACTCTATTCTCTCTCTATCCTTATGTCCACTAAGAGTTGGAATCAACTCAAGGCAGTTGGTCTGAGTTTGATGTATTGGTAGGAATCTCTCATGTCTGAAATACTAAATTCTAGACATTCAGATTATTTTTCTAGTTACTAACATACCAGATAAAGGGAAAACTAACACCTTATTTCTTTTCACTTTAAAAATACCACTGTATTGTAATTTTTAACATTCTTTTGTTTAAAAGACTGAATATCTTGAATAGTAACACAATAATGAGCCTCACTAATGCATTATCTATGCTTCTTTTTTTTTTAGTGATAGTATACTGTCTAAAAGCAACATATAAAGCAGATGAGATTATAAGGTAATGAATGTTGTTGTTGTTATGTGCCATTGAGTGACCTGTGACTCATAGTGACCTATGTATATCAGCCCTAACCTCTGCTCTATCCTGTGCCAACCTTATTAGCTCTGACACACCTACCCCCATTACCCCAGTCACTGAGTCAATCCATCTTGTTGAGGGTCTTCCTCTCCTGCGCTGTCCCTCTACCATCCCAAGCATGACATCTCTCTCCAAGGACTGGTTCCTCCTTGCAGTATGCCCAAAGTATGTCAGACGAAGCTTCAGAATCTTTGCCTACAAGTAGCAGCTTGGTTTAACCCTCTCCAGGATGAATCTGTTCCTTCGCTTAGCAGTGCATGGTATATTCAATACTCTTCTCCAACACCACAGCTCAAATGCATCAATTCTCATTCTATTATCCCTAATCATTGTTTGGCTCTCTGACACATAGCAAGTGATTGCAAAGACCATGGCCTGTATCAGGTATACCTTGGTCTCCAGACTGACATTGTTGCTCTTCAGTACTTTGTAGAGGTCTCTGATAGCAGATTTTCCCAAAGCAATGTGTCTTTTAATCTCTTGGCTGGTGGTATTAAGAGTGCTGATTGTGGAGCCAAGCAAACTAAAGCTATTAGCAGTCTCAATTTCTTCACCATCCATCACGATGCTGCCAGTTGGCCAGTGGTGAGAATCTTTTTTCTTAATATTGAGTTTCAATCTATATTGAAGGCTGCAGTCCTTGACCTTCTGCAGCAAGCACTTCAGGTCTTCCTCAGTTTCAGCAAGCAGGATTGTGTTATCTGCATAAAGCAGATTGTTTATGAGTCTTCCTCCAATCTTGATACCACATTTCTTCTCTTAGAGTCCAGCCTCCCAGATACTTAACATAAATTGGCTTGGAAGAATTGGGGTGAAAGTAGCTATCTTTAGTTAACCAACTGCCTTCTAGATAATTCTTTCTGTGATGTTTTCTTTGTTGTAAAGCCAACTCCTAAATACATAGCTAACTAGAGTCTCATAAACTGATGTGAGAACACTTTTAATATTAATTAAAACTTTTATCTATCTTTAAGGCTTTTCTAAAAAGGAATTCTCTGTGCCACCAAAATTAAATTATACAGAAATCATGAATCATTACAGCCAGACACGTTTCCTACTCTACCAACTACATCCTAGGTAGATTTAAAACAGAAAAGGGAGGTTCATTATTGGAATCCTTGCTAGTTAATAATTATCAGTAAACTTGTTAAAAATGATATCTGATCATTATCAATCATTATAATTTGAAGCATGAAGGTATTTCTTTAAATGTATCATGCTCTTAGGAACATAGAGTTCTCTTTTATAAAGTAGGTAATAGAATTTCATTTCTGAGCCTACAGAAACAGAAGCATTTAATTAACTTGCCTTCTCAACCAGAAAGTCTGTATAAACCTATTTATTAGGTCTGTGTTTTAATTACCAAAATGAAAGCTATAAAATGAATGTTATTGATGTCCCTATTATGTTAAAGTTCATTTCACAAATATCTATTGAATTATGTGGCTAAAACAATAAAAAGAAATAAGTCATGTACTTCCAGAAAATGACACTACCACCAGCTCATTCTGACCAAGGAATTTTTACTTTAGGAAGTTTGCTGTAGGTTTTTAAAGTGAACAGAAACTCGCCAGATCTCACCTTTCATTAATTTCAGAGGGAAAAAGAATGCTTACAATTTGAAAAGGTTACATTTTACAGCATTTTGTAATGTGCCACCACATGCATCCTCTATTCCATTGAAGAGTATTAAGAGTATTATCATGACTACTCTGTGTGTGTGTAATCCAAGTATAACTGTGCTACAGTAGGTTTTCAGTGACTAAATCACATGAAAGATATTGCCCATTTGCTTCTGTGGAGCAATTGGTGGAGCAAACTGCCTGCTTTTTATTTTCAGAGGCTGTAAATTGCATGGGAGGAGATTGCCCATCTTTTGAGTAGCTGGTGGAGTCAAACTGTCTACTTTTGTGCTGCCAGTGCAACTCCTTACCCACTAGGCCACCAGAGTTTCCTACCAAGTTTTTCCCTGGACACTATCTAGTCTTGCCGGCATATGGTGATAATAAAAATCAGGCAGACTTTTAGTTGGTTTTATAATTGTGTTTAAAGTGTCAGTAGACAGTGCATCCTTTATCAATTGCATCTGGACAGACCATCCCCACTACTCTGCCCTTGGTAGGGCATGGCCTTCATTCTGTTTATGCGTTGGGAAAATGACCTAAATGTTCAATAACTGAATGAAGCTCAGCAACTGTGTTCTTCAGTATGGATTACACTTCAACATGAAACAGGTTACAACTGGATTAATAAACAACGTCAGGATAAATGAAGAAAAGATTGATATTGTCTAGGATTTTATTTCCTTGGGTCAGCAACCAACATCCATGGAAGCAGCAATCAAGAAATCAAAAGACAAAAAAAAAAAAAAAGAAATCAAAAGACATAATGGGTGAATCTGCTGTCAAGGACCTCTTTAAAGTGCTGAAAGAAAGGATGTCCATTTAAAGACTAAGGCAAGCCTGATTCAAGTCATAGTCTTTTCAGTTGATTAATATGCATATTAAGTTGGGCAGTGTTCAAAGAAGATTGAAGAAGAACTGGCAGTGTTGGTGAAGAACATTGACTATACAGTAGACAAAGAAAAACCAGACACATGTGTTTTGAAGAAGTGAGGTCTGAGTGTGCCCTAGAAGCAAGGATGGTGAGACTTCACCTCACATACTTTGGCTGTGTTATCTTGAGGGGCTAGACCCTAGAGATCATCATGCTTGGGAAAAAATCTTTGAAAAGAGACTGTCAATTAGATGAATTAATACAGCGACTGCAACATTGAACATAAGCACAGCTGAGACTGTGA